TAAATTTTAAATACGCAGGAAGGAGGCCAACTAAAGCAAGCTTTCAAGAAGAAAATACTCTGTTTTTTGGAAGGAAAAATTTTCTGCAAGTTTTTTCCTATTTGGTAGGACTTCTAGTTGCTTTAGATTCATCCAGAAACTTTAAACTCCCATTTAGGAAAAAACCGTTGTTCAATGCCTTCATCTGCTGAAAGGAGAATAGATCATTTTCAATAACTGTGACTGTTTTCATATTAGAGAAAGGTTACGTGAGATTCTGATCTCTTCCAAAGAAGCAGCTGAATTCAGCAGCCTTCTCCAAAGCTTGACTTCTCTCCTTTGAAATACATCATTTGGAATATGACATTTATTATTAAGATTAAATAGGGCAGGCAGAGGGCAAGATATTTGAAAGAAGTCAGACAGGCACTCCCTCAAGCTCAATTATGCATGGGTACAGATATAGGAATTACAGGACTAGGTGAGGAAGTTTGGAAAGGACTGGCAATTCCCAAGAACAAGAGGCCATTGATATGTCTATTGATAAGCACTCATTGAATGACTTAACACAGCTTATAAGAACTGATGCATCTTTCCTACGAAAGCCCTCACAGACCCCTTTCCCTTCACAACAAAGAGCAGAAGACAACAGGTAGTTTGACTGAAAAGGTCAAAGAAAATTGAAGAAGTGCAAGAAAACCTCTTCATTCAGCTCTGAAGCCACCAAGAAGAAACCCACAGATGTAAGTTAGCGGAATCATTTAGAGAGTCATTTGCTGAAAGAAGGAGGAAAAGGCTACCAAAGGGTACTGAAAGACGTTAGATGATATGAAATAAGCCCAAGTGAAAAACTGATAACATTCAAAGAAGTTTCCCATCTTCCTTAACAAGGCCTTTGCAGATTATGGCAAATTAATCCTAGTTGGCTGGTAGTACAATTGCACTGTGCCAGGATCTCAGACACTCGTGTCTTGATAATCTAGAATGCTTTCATTGACCAAATACATCATCAGCATTGGATAAAAACACTAATAAAACAGTTCAAAGGTTCCGGCAGCATGCTATGAAGTGTTAATTACACGCATCACCAAGTGCACTAAGATTTCTGCACAGCGCAAGTTACCCTATAAACCTTTAATCACCAAAGTAGTTTTCAGAAAGAACTGTTGGATCTAGAGCTGTCACAGTGCAACATTCGCTAAAATCTAGTTTAAAAAATAATGTGATTTTTCACCAAAAAAAAGTTTTCTCTGTTCACACAACAGCAGTATAATTTTCTCCATTATCAATGAAAAGGAAAAAAAATAAAAATAAAAGCAGATACATGTATATCTTAAAATAAAACAAGGATTACCCTTCAATGTTTCCAGTAAGTTTTTGGCCACAAACCAACAGATGGCTTCAAAGAAAGGAAATTTGAAAAGATCCGGGGTTTTTAGCCTCTTCTCCATTTCGTAACACCTGAATAAATAAAAATATTACAAAACATGAATGTTTGAGTTATCAAATTCATTACTCAACTATGTAATCATTCAAATTGACACAACGTCCAAAATAAAATAAAATAACCATGGCCATGATAAATAAAAGAAGCCAAGTACCACATAGTTAAATCCCAACAAGACCACAGACAAGATTGAACTCTGGTCTCATCCAGGCTCTGACCTTATCAAGTTTGACTGCGGCACTTCTAAGAATAAAGTTGGACTTCATAAAACTAGGATACAAACCCAATGTGTGATCTTTTAACAGATGGAATTTTATCAGGATTCCACTGTAATAAATAAAAACAATATGTTTAGAAGACAGCTCCACATCTTGGACAAAAACTAAATACAGCTGCCCTTAGAGCAACGCTGACTTGAGGACGCTCATTTCAACTCAGTGTCACACACCTGGGCTTGCTCAGTTTCATTTTACTCACTTATACTAATCTCCAAAGTAGAGTTTTTCTTTTTTTTTTTTCCTTTTATTCATTTAAATTCTTGCATACCCTTCCTTTTGCTTTTGAAACAAACTTTGCAGAAGTGACATAAGACTATGTGCTTGACACATTCTAACTGACAATGCCACTATTTGTTTGAGAGCCTGTACCGATTTGATCCTGGTTAAGAGCATGAAGAAAAATATCTATTAAAATAATATTCTACTTACTGAGGAAAAGGCATAGGAAGAGCTGAGACTAACCTGAGCTGCATGCCAATATTGAGGTTGTGCAAAAAGTTTCCTCCAAAAGCCATACAATCCTGAGATGTGAGCACAGCGTGAATCCAGCCTGAAATGACAGATTCTGAAACTTAATACATTCATATTCATTATTCTAAGACCGCCTTTAAATATATATATATAAGTAAAAATGCTGTACCTGGAAACAAAAAAAAGTAAACACATTCGTATTCTGTGCTACGAACAAGTAATCTGGATTTTAACAACATGTAAATTACAATGCTTCAGAAATCTAGTGGAACTGTAGTATCTGAAGAAGTTAAGATTACGGCATTTTTCACTAGGGGGTGGGGGATGCAAGACCGCCAATGGCTTTTCAAGTAAAATTCCTCAAAATTTCCCCTCCAATCAACAAAAATAAGAAAGTCAGGAGAGGAAAAATATACTGAAGAAAACATAAAGTCATAAAAATTAAATAGAAATTAAATTCCTTTCAAATATTTACATGTTGCTTAAAGTAACTGAGCTGTTGGCACAACATTAAAAAGTCATTTAGCAATACTGAAGTTTCTCAAATAGGAATTCAGCAGTAGTTCCATTAATTACTCTAAATACAGTCATCCTAATTCCAGGGAAATTATGATCAGTTTAAAACCCAGTCTAGGCACTCTGGCTATATAAATTTGTCACATAATTGAAATACTGTCCTTGCGAACTCCACTATTCAACATAGCAAAGCATGGCCAACATTATGCTATCAATCTAGCTGATTACTACTATACAATTTCAAGTAAGTACACAAATGAACTTATGATATAGTTACCTTTAAAATTTATACTGTGCAGCTTTAATGTAAATGAAACTACATATAGAGTTTCTTCTTCCAAGATTTTTTTTTCTGATTTTGCATGCATACAGACGATCTTTTGAAAAAAGATGTGTTGGCCATATATTTGCAGAGCACTTCATGATTTGACTGAGTGTAGGCAAGATGTACAAACACAGAAAGCTCCCCAACTTGAGGTAAGATCAGACCAAATCACAAGCAACTATATATTGCAAACTACCATTAAATCCATGCCCTAATCCAGTTAAGAACAACCAGTTCTAGTTGTGGCACCACATGTAAAAAGATCTGAAACCTAGCAACTACGCTGACTAAGCAACATGCCTACTATACAGCCTCGGAAGGAAGTAAATTACAGAATGGTACATAAGAGAATGTAGAACACAATGGCACAAGCAACCTAAGGATGGGGGGTTTTTAATTAATATTATACATTGTTCGACTTTATTCCTGTTCTTTGAAAAGTGCAGTGCAATGAAGATTACCTTGTATCACCAGTTGCATTTTGCATTTGTTAATATGGTTTCAATTTTTCACTCTTATCATTGTCACCACAGTAGATGAGTACCTCTGACTCTCCAAGAAATATGCGTACTTCAATCCTTTAAACACACACCTCTCCAATCACCAACAAAAGTGACAACAAAGCCTCCTCACCATTGCATCAACACCAAGGCTTTTTATGGCATATCTGTATCAACTAAAGGATTTAATCTTTTCACATTCCTATTTGCTACTTTTATGCTGCAGTTTTGATCAAGGTCTAAGTAACAAGGCAAGAAAATTTGGTGTAGACCACACAGAATAACTTGAATAATATTTAAATAACTCTCAAGAGCCTCCCAGTAGGTGCTATTCATCCACATGCAAGATTAATTTTAAATCAGAAGTCTACCCTGAACATATTTCAGAGATTATAAAATAATTATGATATCCACTAGCATCAGTGCAAGCAGGAACAGTAAAAGCTGTTTCAGTAGAGATCAGGGTTTTTTTTAAAGCCTTTAATCAGTCTTACTAATTCCCCTATTTTTTTAAACACCTGCCTTGAAACCTAGTTTAATTTATTGGCTCTTGCACTGTACTCCATCATATGCATATGAATATGTGTGTACATACATAATGTGTAAACACACATTTACATTTAGAAGTATAATTTTAGGTGTATACACACACAAATACACATACACATTAGAAATTACCATTTTATGATACTTTTCTTTTTGGCCACATTATAGTGAGAGCTCAGATTCAGCTGCTTATTTGGTAAGCAGTAACTATTTTCAAAGATCTGTGGGTCCCAATAAGGTTCTTCGTTCTGTTATTTTGCATTCTTTGTTCACAGACGTATGACCTTACACCTAGATAAATGGAAAATTAATGTCACCTCCTGCCAAAAATATATGGTTTTAAAAAGCTCTGGGTGTTCAGGAATGTTAAGTGCATATATAGCTCCTCACATGTAGTATTTATTCTGCACAAGCCATGAACTAGAACAGTAAACACTAAACCTCACAGGTAGAGAACTGAGCTATGAGAAAAATGTAGTAGTGTGTCTAGGAAGTCCATGACAGAATAAGGTACTGAACATAATCTTCAAGGCTTATTCCAGAAGTAGAATTGTGCACCATTTTTCTTCTCTGTGTATTTAAAGCTTCCTCCCAAAAAATGGGAAGATAGTTTTGGGAGGATAGTACCAGTACAAATCTTTAATAATAAAAATAATAAAAAGTATTTATATGGATGGACTGGATAAGTGAAAATACAAGAAATTAACTCTCACTCGCTTTACTGGCAAAATACGGTTTGATTTATTAAAGACTTCTATGTTTATGGTATTTGGGAGTTTGTGGGGGGTCGTGTGTTTTGTTTGAAGGATTTTTCTGTGTTTTCTTTAAATAAAGAAGTTTAATTGTTTTGGTGTTTCTCATTTCTTAAAAATGTCCTGTAATTGATCAGATGCTATTAGGTGACAGCTTCAAGAAATGTTGTTAAAGAAAATCAGAAAAGACCATGACTCTGCATCAATTTGAAAGGAAGCTGCTGAAATGAATTTATGAACTCTACAGTTTCATAAACTGTATCTACAAATATCCTTTTCTTTTTAATAAAAGGAATTAACACATGAATTAAAACAAAAAATGAAAACAAAAAAAAAGACAAACAAAAACGCAAACACAAACAAACAAAAACAAACCCCAAAACCCCACCCAACTTTTATTTTTAATCTTCTAGACTATAGCACAAGAAGTTTATATGATGTTTTTGTAATACTTTTGCCCAGTAGGTCTTAAAATACTCAAAGGCTGTAAAGCAAATTTATATTATAAAATTAAGTAAGCATTCAGTCTGGATAGCTAGCAAATGGTGGACAATGTGTGTTCTATGAACTGGAACTATTTCTCTGATATCCAAATTTAAGCTTTAATTTGTTGTCTTATAATTGGGTAACAAACACCTTTTCTTTCTCTGATAACTGCTAGTACTTTCAGACAATCTAAAAAGCTAATTACTTCTTTTAAATAATCTAAACTGCTAAGGTTTTTTATTATTCCCTCTTACCTAAAATTTTAGGAGAAACCAAATGTTGATAACGCAATCATTTTAGGATACCCTTAATTCCTGGTGATTAAACATGCTAAGTCCTAGTAATAAGGGTAAACTCTTACCTGTTGGAACAAATAAAGTGTGTCCTTGCTTCACAACACATTTGTAACATTTGTCAACCTTGTCCCCAAAATATACTTCACTCTGGGTGACAGATGAACTCCAAGACTCATACAGAGCCAAATTTTCATCAGTGGGCTTGATCAAATAGAATATCTTCTCACCCTATTAAATAAAAATATCGAATAAATTAATGACCTTCTGGAGGCATACTACATTCCCTGAGTCATTCCTAAAGTAGTAACAGATTAGCCTAAATGGCAAGTACTCCGTATTTCCACTCCGGAATGTTACAGAGCTTCCTAGCCCCAGTGTTTCACAACTGTAACCCACCAAGTAGTACACTAACCAGTTAGTGTCTTGTGATGTAAAAGAAGCAAACCAACCAACCAACCAAAACCTTTCATTGGAGCACAAAAGAATTTCAGCTTTTATAAACAACTGATGAATATGTGCACACATGTCAAATGAGAAACATAAGATGAAATCACTTTGCCTCTTCTACAATGTATACACGATCAAAGTTTTTAAGAAGAACAAAAAGTTGAGTATGTCAATTATTTTCATTCATTTATTTTTTTCATACTAAGACCTCACTCTATCACCTACCAGTCTACTAAAATGATCAGTCAACCAGTTACAGTCTAGAAGTCACCAACAGTATATGCTAAAATAAAAGCACAAAAATGCAACACCAACAATCAGTAATCCACATTCTAGTTCCTCCCCTGGCTTTTTAAGCACGAAATTTCATACAGGTGATAATGCCACGGCAGAAGGCTGCACACTGAATAAATTTTGGTTCACATGGTCATAAATCAAGAAGCCTTCATACCCAGAGAACATGGTACCAAACTGATGTTCCTCCAAAATCGATATGAAAATCGGTATAGCTGTCCTGGACACCCATCAAGCAATACTTCTGAACAAAAGGCTTAGGGAAGACAGAATCATCTGGCCAATAATTTTCCACCCATGAAAGCTTTCTGGCAATATCTGGTACTTCCACTAATTCAGACATCCTTTAAAAAACAAATAAACAAAAAAGAACCATAAATATAATCAAGAGTAAACACACCTCTTTTTAAATGACAGGTTTAAATTTTTATTTAATACAAAGTTATTACTTATGAATTAATAAAAAAATTTTATACCCACATTAAATCAAAGTAGCTGTCTACACAAAATACAGAGCCTCCTATCTTTCCCATTACAGACATTATATTCCTACACATACTGTTCAACTTAGTGAAAACCACTTCCTACGTTCCAGGAATTAAAGTCAATACTCACTTTGTGTCCGAGAATTCCAGGCTGATCACATTTAATACTTTTGGTCGGTCAGGATTTGTGAAATATTTAATATAATTATGAAGCTTCATTTTACTGTCTGCTTGTCTTGCTACATCTATTACATCTATCACTTTGTCTCCACCTGTGAAAAACAGGATGATTTTCTTAAACCTATCGCAAATAAAAATAGCCAATTAAGGTGTTCAAGAGAAATTTAATTTTTTTTCCAGGCTTCATCAAAACATTTCTGCACAAAAAGCCCGCTACAATACCAGTATTCTTTTGGAACAGAGACAGACCAGTATCAACCAACTTTGTTTCATCTAACTTTAATTGCTACAATCAGCTAAGGACAGAACTGAAAACATTCTGAAAATAAATTCTCTTTCCTGTGGTTAACGAAAAAGAGCAGTATAGAATGACTGCAACTGGTTTAAAAAAAAAATGTGTTTGTGGCTGCAATTGAAAAGACTAGCATAAAGTTCTCAAGGTACATCTGTTCCTCACTGTTCCTATTAATCATCACCACAGACTTAAGTATTTAACACAAGGATCACTGAGAATTCTTTATAAACAATAAATCCTACTGCTCACAGCTTGTAGTTCTTAGCAAAATGAACTAAACTTCTGCCATAACTGGTAAGTTATTAACATTAAAAACTACACAGGTAATCCTTCGTAAACATTCTACAAGCCCACTCTACGCTCCTCATATACATGCAGAACTTTGAGGCACACAATAATTTCATTGAATAATTGTTGTGAGGATGCTTCATTTCGGAAGACCACAAGGACTGGTTCAAGTATCACATATTTTAAAGTGATACATCTGTAGAACCAGACAAGCAAGAAGCAACCTTTAGCCAAGAGAAAGGACTAACAACAACATTATAATAGTAACTGGTTTATGTCCATTTAGTTACACAACAGTCAAATTTGACAATTAATTTTGGACTGCTAGAACGTATCTAGATGTACACTATAAACATAATTACTTTAAACTTACAAGTTAGTGTCATCTTGACAAATTCCAGTTGGAATAGTATTTATTGAGTTTCTAATTTCAATAATAAAAAACCTAAATGTAAATCTGTGGCATTCCAATTTTTGCCCTAAACTGGAAAACCTGGCAGGTCAAAATATATATATAATAATGAGAAGATCAAGTTTCTGTCTGAATCTGAAGAGGCAGTATTCCAAAGGAAAAGATTCAGAAGTACCAAAATGATAATAACACTTTAAAGCAGAATACATTACTGTTTATAACCATCATAATGGTAACAACATTCCATATACTATGTATTTCCTATATTTTGGTGCATTGTGAAATGTTGCTAGACAGAAAACCTGGTTTCAGCACACATCATTATATTAGGTTATCACAAGAACACAGACAAGGCCATATACAGACTTCTCAACTGTACTACAAGTTACAGGAAATGTCACACTGCAACTGTCTCAGTCCTATTTCTCTGTACTGCACACTTACATGAGGTTGAAACTATTACAGACTGTTAAGAGATCTGTAAGAAAGAAAATAGTCCTTGGGAAGCTCTAGCTCTCCTGCCAAAGGAAGCCACAGTAGGACATTTTCCAGGAAGAAAAACTTAATTCAGAAAGGCCAGTTTACTGAGCCCAAAACATTAAGTTTTGCAATATCTTAACCAATGATTAAACTTTATTGATCATAAGAGTGATTTATTCAATTCCCACAGAGTCATTATACTTTATTGCTTTACAACATGTAGCAGAAAAAAACCCAGCATTCCATGTTCAGCTTGCACCAAAATGAACACTTCTGGAAGTTGAAAAGTAAGGCTGTACTCCTATCACATATCTACCACACACACAGGGGAAAAGGAAAAAAAAAAATAAAGAGAGAGAAAGAAAAAAAACCAACCACAAACAAAAAATCCCATAGCTTTAATTTTACTCTCTGCTAGTCTTCAATTTAGAATATATATTTAGCACCCTAGAAGCTCTTACAATCATGCAAATATTTATTTAATTTACAGACAGGATCATTCGTAAGTACTCCAGAGTGATTCTTACCTACATAGCGTTCCACATCTAAAACAGAAAAAGTTGGTGGAGGAAGTCTGAGCCCCAGACCATCTAATTTAGGAACCATAATGGGAACATCAAACCCATGTTTCTCTAAGTATCTTTGTGTCAACTGGCTTCCATGCATTTTCAAAATGACTTCATCAGCACTGGTGGAAAGAAATAATGGAATATTAGCAGAAAAACATCCTCTAAGTACTACTGAAAAAAACAAATTATGTCACAGTTTGGGGGAGGACAGATGGGAATGGCTACATTTGAATCCAAAAGAAGTGGACTCAGTACTATTATATTAATCATTTAAATAAAAGGCAAAGAAAACTACCTAAACCAGCAAGGAAACATTTACTGTCACGCATAACCTGGGAACTCACAGTCTTTCTGTATGACTGAACACAGTAATTTAAGAGGATAAGGGGAAAGGAATTCTCAGAAAAGGCATTAAAGTACATTTTGGTAACAACAACAACAACAAACTCCTTTAAAGAATTGCAAGTCATTATGTTTCAGTGAGTGAGCCAATCACAGACAGCTCAAGACGAAAGTACAGCCACGTTTCTCCACTTTACTCTAAAGCACGTGAGAATGGATAGACTACCAGCTCATATAAGTGTTCTGTGTTATTTGGAAGGAAAAGGAGGACTATTCCTGGACTAGAGGAACAGACAGACAGACAATATTCTGACAGTTCACAAAAAAGAAAAACAAAACCCAACCATTCATGCTACTGCCCCCACTCCCCCCACAAAACCAAACAAACCCACAAAAACTCAAACCCCCACACACCACCCTGCAGCAGTCCTGACAGACAACATATCCCAGTGCAAAACTGAACAGGGGAAGCTACTGCATGAAAAGGCAAATGTATCCATCTGAAACAGGGATGCAGAAGGGTGATTCTAAATGAGGAGGAAGTCAATCTTAATTTTCTGAAGCAGAGAAATGTTAGTCACCTCCCTAAGACACACTCAACTGACAACATCTCCCTATTTTTTTCACTGAAATGTGTAAGTAAGCTTCTGTACCTTGGGAAAGAGCGAGCCCGCAGCTGTTTAACGAAGGTTCGTGTTCCAGCCTGCACTGGTTTGGAACCATCATCCAACTCTGTGTAGTCATGTCTGTGCCAGTTCCTCCTCTTCTTCACTACAAGTTTCAGAAAGATTAAACTTTCAATTAGTTAAATCAGATGGCTTAGATTAGCAGTCATCCCATCAGTGAGCCAGACATGCATCCACCACAATTCTACGATTAACAAACCTTAGTGTTTATGCAGCTGACACTCTATCGGCAACAAACAAAACCTTCAGGACACCTGACAGTAATCCTCTACACTTCTATAGCTCCTTTTTGTGAGGACCTCAGTGCACATTATGCATGATTTAAGATTCCATATCCAGAGCAGCACAAGTAAACAGCAGCAGCACGAAAGGTGTCCAAAACTAAAGAGTCAGCAGCAAAACTAAAAATAGAACTTTAATTTCCTAAAGCTCAGACCCTTTTTTTTTTTTAATAAACAGAAGAATTGTACCCATTTTATGCATTAACACAGAATTAAAAGGACCTAATTCCTCTCTCACCATATGAGCATACCTATATCCAATCTGATAATATTACTGCTATTCACTACCATATGCTGTTTGAAACCAAACCACCTTTCTTTGACCCACTGCTTATGTCTCCATAACAGCTTTGGGCATAAACTGTTGTTCTGGTTTGGGCTAAATCAGAACTAATTCTGTTTTAGTGTTTTAACTTTTCAGTTAAGTCCCTTCTAACTAACTGCACTTTCTGAAACAGCAGCATGTTTTTCCAGACAGTGACTGCTCCCAGCAGTGATAAGGCCTGATGTTTATAGTTCGTACCAAGGAATGGTATGCAGAGAGGCCCTTGCTTAGACTTGTTCTTATGGCGACCAAGGTCACTGCTAAATCTTGTACTCTGTGTTGGGGTGCCAGGAATGAAAAGGGTCACAAGCACGAAAAAGGTCGCACCTGCAGGGAGGAGCGAACCGGACAGGTGACCCAAATCTGACCAACAGAGTGTTCCATCCCATATACGTCATATTCAATACAAAGCTGAGAGATCACGAGGGTCTCTCTTCTTTGATGGCCAACATCTGAAGAGGACTCTGTCTGTCCTTCTATCTTCGATCCCGATCCGTGCATCCCTGAATCCAGTGCCTGAGTCCAGCTCCTGCATCTGGTTCCCACCTGCTGCAGTGTCCAGCCTGGGACTGCCCCAGTGCCAGCCCTGCAGCGTTGTGGTGACGTATTGTCATCAGGGTGGAGGGAGTTGGGTTCGGTATTGGTTTTGTACATATTGTATATATTTCATTATTTCCTTATTCTTATTATTATCTTTTCTTTTACTGTTATTATTTCATTAAAGCTATTTTAGTTTTCTTTTCCAAACCATAAAGTCTCTCTGCCTTGTTCTCTCTCCTTTTCCCTTTTGGGAGGGGAGAGGGGTTAATAGAGAACATCTGTCATGTGTTAGTGGCCGGCCCAGCCTCAAACCTTGACAACTGTTTTGGGCAGGTGTGATCTTCACTATGCAAGCACAATACATATAACGCAAGCGTTGCACCCCAAAACGATCAGCTTCCAAGTGGTGTGAAACTTTAATGCATTGTTACAGCATATTAATAAAGAACAAAGGATAAATTAACCTTCTATTACAATTTTGGGAATCTGAAACTGATAGTTCAATAGCAACTAGATTGCATTTTTAACAGTTCCCTATACCTAAAGGGCCAAGGCAAATGAAAAACTAGACATTCTCATAAAAATGGTTGTGTTGGTCTCCCCACGACAAATAACAGATACACAAATGAGAAAAAAAAACAAACAATAAAACTATTTTCATAGAATTGTTTGAGTTGGAAGCGACCTTTAAAGATCACCTAGTCCAACCCCCGTGCTATGAGCAGGGACACCTTCCACTAGACCAGGCTGCTCAAAGCCCCATCCAACCTGGCCTTGAACACTTCCAGTGATGGGCCATCCACAGCTTCTCTGGGGCAACCTGTTCCTGTGTCTCACTACCCTCATGGTAAAAAATTCTTCTTTATAACCAATCTAAACCGACCGTCTTTCAGTTTAAAGCTGTTACCCCTTGTCCTGTCACTACAAGGCCTCAGTAAAAAGTCACCTTCTTTCTTATAAGCTCCCTTTATATATTGAAAAGCTGTATTTCAGAACATTGTAAGCTGTATGCAGCCTCCCCAGTTTAAATTTTTGACCTTAAGAGAAACAGAGGACAAAGTGACTTATATCATGGTGAACTTACTGGCTGTCTTCAAATTTTCATTATTTCATGACAAATTATTTCATAATGGATTTTTCATCAATTCATCTTCATCAACCACTCATTTTGTATCTTCATTTATAAAGAACAAAGCTTTCTGCTTTGAAAGGAAGCCCTTGGTTGCATCATCTGTTTGTTAGCAAATTCAGAGCACTTTCTGTCTAAACAAATAAACCGGTATCTCTTGCCCTCAATCAAGAGGCTAAGAAGCCCTATTGAATTCCCAACAGGTCCCTTGGCAAAAAGGACCATCACCTCATCACCTGAGAAAGAAACTCCAGCAGTGCTGAACTTGCTAACTTTCTATTGACTTATCTTTTACCACATTAAGAAACATACTAAGGGTAAAGTAATTTTTAGGTTGCATTTCAGTTTTTCCTAAAAAAGCCAAACTCCTTTCCACAGCATTAGATAGCTGCTACTGGAAGACTGCCCCAAGAAGATTTACTGAGACCAGATCTATGATTTAACCACTAATATTAAGCACAAATTTAGTTACATCTGCTGAGGAAACATAGAAAAGGGCAACACTACTGTTACTTGTCAACACAAATGGTCTTTACGGGTGTATAGAAAACAGCCTGCAAGGTAAACACAACACCCAGCTAAACAGCTGTAGTAACACAAATTTGACCTTCATGGAAGAGCTCATTCTTAAGTTAACGAAAGTCATGATGCACCCAAAATCTAAACAAGTGCTAGCAATACTGAAAACACAGCCAACAGTAACAGGAAGCTAAGGATTTAAGAGGGGAAAAAAAAATAGTTTCTAAAAAGAAAAAATTGGTGCTTCTCCAGAAAAAAACAGTTCGTTGTATAGGAATAACTGACACCTTACAGCCATTACACATAAGAGGTAATTATTCCTATTGATAAGCTGTTTCCTACAGACATGACAAAACGTACCCTTTAGAAGACATTTAAGAGAATAAATTGACATTTATAGCTATTTGCTAACCTGAAAACCAGTGCTGAAGAGCCTGCTTAATGAGTCAACTATCCAAATACAGTAAAACTTCATAAATAATGAAGGCAGGTTTAGTAAGTTTTCAAAGCTATTTTCTCAGTCATAAATAATAATACAAGAAATTAGGGGCTAACACAAATTTGCAAGAGCAGTTTCTCATAAATTCACTGCTGTTATAACAGCTCATTAAAATTGTAAGACGATACAGCTGCTTAAGAGATTTTATAGCACAGAACCAACTTTTAAAAATCTGTCTTTCCAATACTTAAAAATCAGAAATTAAAGCCATTCTTTTACTTAGTACTCGGCAATGTACATCATCCTTCCCTTAAGTAAGAGCAACACTGAAGAACAGAAAACAGTAGTGAAAACTTTTTCCACTTCCGTATCTCTTCATTCTAGAGCTTTTATAACCCCTTACAAAGTTAACAGTAACAGTTGCAAGAAAAATAATTTTACTGAAGGGACCCTTATGCTCAAATTAAAACAAACAAACAAAGAAACCCTACCTAAGCTGAAATGTACATATAACGCCACCTCCCAATCACTCCAAACTAGTGGAAGGAACTAGTGTTCACCCTTGCTGTTCCTGAATCCTGAGGCACAACCCCCTGCAGCAACACTAAAAATACACGCACAGAGTACACTAGACAGTTGCAGGGAGGGTGAGAAAAGGAAAGGAGTGCGCTGGGAGTTTTCATGAAAAGTAAGCACAAAGCTATTTTTGAATTACATTCCTTATACACTCAAAACAATGGGCCAATAACTGTACCTGCTTTAGCCAAACACTGTTCCCTGCCTTCTCAACACTACTAGTCTGTTTGCCTCAGAGGTCACAAGCTAGACTTCAAAAGGGGATCATCAAGAGTTACGCATCTGTACAAGGAGGCCCTAAGTCTTGGAAGTGGTCCTCTAGGTGATTCCCAGTGACCAAAAAGGCAAGAGAAAAGTAAGCATAGGAAGACTGAAACGTTTTAAGGTGCATACAGTAAATCATAGAACACCACTTCTAAGGCCTGGTACATCATCCCATGTTGTCAGCTCAGATCAAATGCTGACACTACTATCACAGTCAAAAAAAAAAACAACAGGTGGGAGGGTATTTAAAGAATTTAAGAAGGTAAAACCAAATTAAGAAAGTAATGTCCTGACAATCACAGTCCTGGTAATATTTACTGCATCTCGTGCTCTCTTAAAGCTCTGGATTCTGCAGTCTGATGACAGACCTGACTCCCAGCATTCATGCAAACAGAACATTTTCAGACTTAAGGAATACCGAGAAAACTTTGAAAATAACAAACTATAATATGAAGACTCTAAACCAAATAAGCTCAGAAAACTCCATAGTGCATTACAATTTTTTTAAATCGCTCTTTTTAATTATTTAGGATTTTAGGATTAATTATTTGGCATTTTACACACATGACTGCTTACTAAAGGTCTTGTAAAATTGTTGCTCTTCCAAATCAAGAAGAGGATTTTTTTTTGTTTGAAATACAAAGAAATTGATTGGTTGATTTGATCTTTACAGCTAATTATTCAGTAGCTTTCTTTCCATTACTGGAACTTTTACATTTTTGCAGGATGCTGAAAGTTACCATTCATTTGGTAGTATGAAGTATATGTTTCTTATATATTTGTAGTAATTTTTTTGTACTACATCATCTGATTAGATGGCATTATATACACAAGGGCCTGCTGAAATCGCAGATATACTTGCCCTCTTAAATCAAACAGCTGATTTTTTGTCTCTTTCAAAACTCCTTTAGATAAAAGGATCTTAAAATATGAAGCTGTAAATAATATTTTTTTCTTACATCTATAATTCCATACAATTGACGCACTCCAGAGCATTGCTGCAACACTAAGTCATGAGGCTTTACCATTCTTTCTAAAGTAAGTAGAGCCCAAGCCATGAACTATCATAGATTTGATTCTGACAGCTTAACTGAGAACAATTAATAAAATTCCAGGTGAAGACATATTTCAATACATCACCTTTGCTTGGGTTGGTAAGCGACATGTCTGAAGCTTCTACTAAATCTAGATGATCTACTTACTTGAGGCAATATGAAGTAATAAGATTAATTTTTACCACAGATTCTTGTCTCTTTGAAAAGACTTCCAACACAAAAATCACTCTTATCTCACTGTCAAATTGCTGCAGGTGAGACAGAGCTTGCATTAGAACTAGCTGCCTCTGCATTACAAGAAAGATTATTCACAGGTATCACGGTGAAGCATGCTAGTTCTCCCAAATCAAGAACAAGTTTCAAATTTACTAGTTTATTATTTTGAAAGTCAGGTATGACCGCCCCCTTCTACTCCTCCTCCTAGTCACTCTGTTCCACAGAAAAACGTACAGAAAAGAAAGGGGAAAGAAATGGTGTTATTTGTATTCTGATTTACAGGAGACACATGCAGATTTTTAACTGTAAATTACAACCGGAATACTAAAAATTACAAGCATGTAAAACAGTATTTATCTTACTTTTAGTCCCTAACTCAAAAGTAGCTAACCCTGAACAGATGTACTATACAAGATATATATCATGCAACTTATATTAACTACATGAATAAGTGATGCTTTATCACTTTGTTCATACTCCACAAGACTACCACTGAGGGTGCAGTGGTTTTAAACATTTCTCAAAGGCAAAGTAAATTCAGCTTTGAGAAGAGTCTAGATCTTACGTCACTGCTGACTGTAAATCATTATGTGGTCCTCAAGCGAAAAAAAAAAAAAACCACATTAGAAAACAAAAATGACCATGACTTAAGTGCTTAGAGGTTAAAGATACACAGTGCGTAAAAACATTTTCCAGGTCTGAACATGGAAACGTAATTCATTGTTGGAAAGGTGAAATTAATTTTTACATTGTTTCCTCTTGAGAACAGAAGTCACAGGGAAAAAACTAGAGTTGGATAAAGCAGTATCCTTTCAGTAGTTACAGAAAGACAAAAAACGTTCCATCTTTCCAATGCAGATTGCTGCAGCAAATTGATCTACTGAAAGGAGAACCAAAGAAGCGGTCTTTTGCTGCTGTTTCACACACTCTTCTGGCAACTCATAACATTGCATGAGGATCTTGGTTGAAACTTGTTTATAAATCATAAACCTGAAATTTGGAGCTGTGTAACTCTCAAGGACATGAAATAGTGGGACACACACACACAAAAGAACCACCCACAGGAAGCTCATATCCTCACTGGACTGTTGCAGCATATAGCCTACAATCATCAAGAAAGGTAACACAGCTAACTCCTACAGTTTCTCAAAGTTGCCTTCCTAGGTATTAGAATTTTGATTATTAAAATATAGGAACCTTGAGCCATCTTTTGGATTTTTCCTTTTTTTAAAATGATGATTCCCTAATTTTCATCCTCTCACTCTCTGTCAGCTTGTTTTCTTCTAGCTCTGTGCACTTTGATTTCTCTAACCTATAGTGGTGGCTTGTATTTTATTCTACCTGCATCTCCAGATCAAGGAATCTTTCAGGATGGTTTGTTTGTTTTGTGGGTTTTTTTAATCAGCTCAGAGTTAGTCATGTAGAACCACGTAGTACCTTCTAAATAATCAAACTGATCTTGAATGTTCTTTTGAACAGTCATTTTCAGTTGCACATGGAGAGAAAACAGACTGAAAGCGTAAAATAAAATTTGAATAACCCATACTTACTTAGAGAAGGTCCATGGAGAATTGCACAGTTGGGACAATGGTATAGATCAATGTCAACAGCATGGTGCTCCTCTACCCCAACACAGCTGGAATAATATTTTTAAAGCGTTAATGAGAATTCATGCAAGATTTATTTTTCAAGCTAAAAAATAATTAAATCTTAAGTTTTTACCACTAGATGCTTAGTCCACAAAAACATAATGAGATACCAAATTATCTCAACTACTGTGTTGCCACATAAAATTTTGAGTAATGATTTATCATTGAACACAGAATGCCATTTAAAAAAAAAATCATAAAAAGGAAATAATCAAATTTCTTTAAAAATGGGTCCATAATACATATCACAATATATTACCCTTCAGCCTCCCCAAAACCTTCAATCCTAATTACAGGAAACAGTTTATGCAAAATCATTCCAGCAATTTTCCCTATAAAAGTTATGATTTCAAAAAAAATCTGAAGTCTCTGATGTGTCAATTTATAGAAGACATAATGGATTTTTTTTTTCTTGTTTTCCTTCTTTTTTCCTGCAAAAGCACTTAACTGACTCCCACCCCCCAAGGCAAATCAATGAAGACTGTTTTCATATTCTTCCTGAGATCTTTCCACTGCTAATACTAGCTATGTAAGCTACACAAGTGATCACGCAAATCACTTTGTAGAAGTGTTTTTGTTTTAAAATAGCAACAAGTATTTCAAAGACCACTTGAGAGAGATAATGTTTTCTCAGTGCACATTTTTTACCAGATAAAACAAAGTAGGATAAAAGTTGAAGATCTTTATAACAGTAATGACAAAGCATATACACTGCCATGTATCTGAATAACACAATTTTAAAGTCAAAATGAAGTACATTTTCTTAGAAGTTGAAACACCAGAGGTTAATTGGAGAAGATGTGCTTTTGCACAAACTTCTCCAGGAAAAAAAAGTAATCCCTACTTCTTGGCTGAATCTGAATCCCGGCAGAGTTCTTGCTCTCAGAAGTTCATTGACACATAGAAAACTGCTGACTTTATAACACAGAAGCAAGGCTACAACACTGAACATTTACACCAAAATTAGGTATCTATATTCGATGCATTCTAGTAACATGAGAACTTGAACAGTACTGCATTCAAGGTAACCCATTTCATATCAAAAGTGTAATGACAGCTTAAACACTGAAGCTTTGAAATGATCCAGCTACACAAAGTCTTTTCCCTAGCAGCCTAGTGCCAAAACTGCTGACACGCTCCAGTAAGTGTCAGTACACGCTGCCAAAACAATATACTAAACAGTCTAGCACTCAAAGCGCACCAATCAGCAAATCAAATCTGAAACTGAAGAGCATCTCCCATGTAACTATCAACGAGAAGTACACCATTCTGAATTCTCTGTAAACAGATTCGGCTGGTTCTTCTGCTGCTCCATTCGCTACATACCGCATGAAATTCAGAAAGTATATAGCTTTTTTATATACACACTATTTTAAAATCCAAATACAAAACTCAGCTGCCACAGTTCATCACAATTCTTGCAATATTTAGTATCTGTTTTAAGACCACAACTACAGGAATTGTTATTACATGAAAATTCAGCTGACATATAAACAAATAGGAAGGCAGAAGCAGTCTTTAAAAATGCATGTCCCATTGCCTTCTGCTTGTGTTCTCTCTCTTTATAGAATAGATGAGTGACTCAATCCTATGTATTATAAGAAAACTGTTTTAAAACATACACTCTAAAAGCCCCAAATGAGAAGGCTGGTTTTATATATCCTCAGGAATTCTATTATTTTAGCTGAATCTCTGATCTTTGAACAGTTAAAGATATTTATGTTGGACTGTATCTTGATAAAGTTCGCAAAATTATTCAATGAAACACAGTGCTCCATGCGAAACCTTCATTTAATCTCTTTCCTTTTTCCTGGTATTTATTTGATACATTCACCATCACCCCAATCAGATTATCTTGCTGACTAACAGTAAGAACTTTGCATCAAAGTACAGTAAGAATACCTTCAAGTTTTGACAATTTTGTCATGTTCTGTTTAAGAATGTTAATTTTACTGTTTCTTACAGAATGTAAAGATAGCCTGAAAATAAAGCAGAAATTCTGTTAAGTACTAAACGCTTTCTCTGACTTGATTAATTCCATAACCTTTCATGAAGGCACATGGGGGTTTGTGTACAGAGACAGCAGGCGACACTGGAATGGTGTAAGAATGGCTGGAACAGCCATTCAATAAAGAATGCAAACATTTTCAGTCCAGTCTTTACGGTCTAAACTCTGAACTAACTGGAAAGACAAAACACTAACTGGGAAATAATCTAGAAGCAGACACCTGACTGATGCGAAGGGCAAATGAGGCACTAGCACCTGCAAGAACAAGCATTGCCAAGGAAGCCACAGAGCGTATCAATCACATACAGCACCATTACAAGTCACTTTCCTGAGTCCCTTTCTCCAAGGTACGCAGATGAATCTGACATTAATCATGCTGGCTACTAGCAAGCAATCAATTACTGTGGTAAGTGCAACTTCAGACCTCAAGCATCAAAGCAAGGTCACCAAGAGGTTTAACATACTCAAACACAGCAACACTCCCAAATCCACTGACATTTTCCTGAATGAAATACCATTATTACCCTTCACCTCACCATCCATTTGGATTGAAATGTCTTTAGTGTATATTACGTAGTTTCTGAATTGCTCATGTCCTGCAGGGAGGCTGTAGACTAATCCTCGGGAATGGTCAAATTTTACGATATTATAAAATACAAAATAAAATACAGTTACAAAAACAACTGTAGGAGATCGCAAAAATACATCTCTAATTCCATTCATGAAGGTGGAAGGCCTGAACAGGCCCACTTTTACTTGAAATTATTCTAGAAACAGTAGCAAGGTAGAAAAAATTAGTTTTAAAATAGACTCCATGATATCAGTGTCTGAGTGGTCAGACATTCATAACTTCTGCAACTTCCCCAAGGTGTCTAGTATCACAGCAAGGTCAGCAAGAGGCAGCAGAAGAATCGAGGAAGTGCTATTTCACAAACAAGAACTTGCCCATCCCTGACAACTGAAGAAATCTCTTGCTACTCAAGAGTTCAAGAAATCAATTCTCCAGACATAAATCTCACTAGAAAGTGAATGTTTTTTATTTCGTCTCAACTTTCCACTTGATTGTTATATTTGTAGCAATGTAAAATGAGCAAGTACAAATCAAAAACAGTCCGAAGGGGACTATCTAACATATCTGATAGGTACCAATGGACCTCTGCTTTCTGTAAAGGGAAAATAAGGCTTCCTTCACAGGGAAATATAAATCCTGCAGAGGCTGTTCTCTACTGCAGTATTGCTATTCATTTAGAATTTAAGAGATAAGATGAGTACAGATAATTCAGTATGACAGATTCAACAACTATTTCACAATTATGCTGGAATGCCTTGTACAAGGAGTTTGCAGAAGTCCAAAACATTTACAGGAAGCATTATCCCTGAAGACTGCATGGTTGCACACAGTCAGCCACCCAAGGCACCTGGCACTTCTTTTCTTCTACAGCAGCATGACGTTGTGAACAAGTACTGGATCCACAACAGTCACCACACAGGCTGCTGCACCTTCCAAATCTAGTACCTGCTTGCTCTCAGCCCAGTCTGGCTCTTCTCTTCCCTACTTCTGATGTTATCAAGCATGACCGTAACATTTTAGAGACTGTTTAACTGCCTCTGTTGATATGATTGAAAGAATACTGGCTTAAGAAAAAAATCCAAAGCACTCTTAATTCAAGGCCTTATTTTCAGTGTCCTTAAAGGGACACAACAACTTGAAAAGCTATTTTATCTTATTTAAAAAAATAGTGTATATACTATTATATAAAACTCCAAGTATAAAAGGGAATGACTACACATATAGCACTACAAAAGTCAAGATATGAGTAAAGTTTGGATGCCCGTGCTTCCAATTTAATTGTCAGCTGAAAAAACTAACAGGCCAGATTATCAATGTCAGCAAGGCATTCCTACTAGGAAATTCCTGAGATTTCCTGTATACAACAAGGCATACTGAAAATACCAATTTTGAAAATCGAGAGATGCAGGCAATTCTCAATGATCTAATAAAAGGACTGCAGAAAACAGATGGATCATCCTCAACATGGAAAAACTGAGTTAATTTGTCACAAAGCTGGGTCATACACAGGACACCATCATCCTCTTGGATTCCATCTTCTGCTCCTTTCTTCCTTCACTTCAATTCCGTAAGCCTCTTTTTCACCTCTTTCAGTAGCACGTGGAAAAGAGTCTAACAGAGTCTTCTTTCTACATGCAATTGTACTTCTTATGAAGTTCCCACGGTAGCTTCCACTTATCTCAACACCAGCATGACACTCTGTACCTATAAGGTTCACCTAGGAGCTGAGAAAATGTGACAGGCCATCACAGGAATGTCTACTATGTCTTCAACAGATGTTGTTAGATAGATACTGTTTTACAATAAGATACTGATTTACAGCTCAAAATTGAGCCGAAGTTTTTTTAAGTGTCTTACTTCCTTCTTGGGACAGACAGAGTTCAGACACAAAGACCTCTTGGTTTTCCAGTCTGACTTTTTTGCTGTCACTGCACAGCAAAAGCACAGGTTCAGGACTCTTGCTAGCATGTTTAATTAGGCACAACACCTTGGACCTTTTCCAAGCTATAAAATTACTGAAAATTACATTTTCCAAGACCCCCCTATATTGTCCCTGAATAAACACTATGGGTAATCTTTTTCTTTCTTTACTATCCTATTTCTGAACTAGAACTCAGCACATCCTCTTCAAGTCCACCCTTGTATCAGCATCCACAACCCTTCCTTGCTATGCCTCAGAGAGCATTGCAGGCTTTATCCGTAAAAGGAGAAAAAAGCATGTCTTGATATCCAGTAGTTAAAAATCAACAGACGTCCTGGAACGGTGGGTAGAATGCTAGGGGTGTTACAGCATGTTCCCTGTTACTAGGAATGCTAGGGCTACAGGTAATTACTAGGAGTATAGGCATCTTTCCTATTACCTGACAGAGCAGATCTCCAAAATCCTTTTTCAATTTCTAGTTATCCACAGAAC